TGTCACTACGTTTTTTTTTGCTTACAAAAAGTAAGTTAGACGGCGCCACCTAAATCGAGAACAAATTCGCTCTCAGTTCATTTCCTTCAAACAGAGGAAATGCGACGTCAAAGCGAGTAGCAACCGGATGGCTCGAGGCGGGGATTGAAGCAAGCCTGGTGGCGAAAGAAGCATGCGAGCATGGCCGTAAGTGTAGGAGCACGATGATATGTGAAAGGGGTATGTGCAGCACATGTGGCATGTCCGTGAATACGTGAATTGCGTGCGATTCGAGCGGGTTGCGGATTAAGCGTGTTGTGTCTGAGCTAGGTGCTCTTATGGTGTAATGGTTAGCACTCTGGACTTTGAATCCAGCGATCCGGGTTCAAATCCCGGTAGGACCTCGTTTTGCACCGCTTCTACCGGCCCTACAACGCCCCAGCTGTTGCTGCGTTGCGCACCTGCCACACGCTACAGCCGCGTCACGTTGTGTTTCCGTGGTGTGTTATATCGTGTCCCGGCGATCCGCTGCCGATTTAAGTGGTAGCTGCTGCTCTGGCAGAGCTCACCAAGCCTAACTGCCGACTTCGCTGACTGCACTACCAATTCTCCAAGACAGCCAGAGGGTTCATCGCAGCCTTCAGCGAGAACAATTGATCCCGTGGGTATCCATAACACGAAGAAATGCGACGTCAAAGCGAGTAGCAACCGGATGGCTCGAGGCGGGGATTGAAGCAAGCCTGGTGGCGAAAGAAGCATGCGAGCATGGCCGTAAGTGTAGGAGCACGATGATATGTGAAAGGGGTATGTGCAGCACATGTGGCATGTCCGTGAATACGTGAATTGCGTGCGATTCGAGCGGGTTCCGGATTGGGCGTGTTGTGTCTGAACTAGGTGCTCTAATGGTGTAATGGTTAGCACTCTGGACTTTGAATCCAGCGATCCGGGTTCAAATCCCGGTAGGACCTCGTTTTGCACCGCTTCTACCGGCCCTACAACGCCCCAGCTGTTGCTGCGTTGCGCACCTGCCACACGCTACAGCCGCGTCACGTTGTGTTGCCGTGGTGTGTTATATCGTGTCCCGGCGATCCGCTGCCGATTTAAGTGGTAGCTGCTGCTCTGGCAGAGCTCACCAAGCCTAACTGCCGACTTCGCTGACTGCACTACCAATTCTCCAAGACAGCCAGAGGGTTCATCGCAGCCTTCAGCGAGAACAATTGATCCCGTGGGTATCCATAACACGAAGAAATGCGACGTCAAAGCGAGTAGCAACCGGATGGCTCGAGGCGGGGATTGAAGCAAGCCTGGTGGAAAAAGAAGCATGCGAGCATGGCCGTAAGTGTAGGAGCACGACGATATGTGAAAGGGGTATGTGCAGCACATGTGCCATGTTCGTGAATACGTGAATTGCGTGCGATTCGAGCGGGTTGCGGATTGGGCGTGTTGTGTCTGAGCTAGGTGCTCTTATGGTGTAATGGTTAGCACCCTGGACTTTGAATCCAGCGATCCGGGTTCAAATCCCGGTAGGACCTCGTTTTGCACCGCTTCTACCGGCCCTACAACGGCTCAGTTGTTGCTGCGTTGCGCACCTGCCACACGCTACAGTCGCGTCACGTTGTGTTGCGGTGGTGTGTTATATCGTGTCCTGGCGATCCGCTGCCGATTTAAGTGGTAGCTGCTGCTCTGGCAGAGCTCACCAAGCCTAACTGCCGACTTCGCTGACTGCACTACCAATTCTCCAAGACAGCCAGAGGGCTCATCGCAGCCTTCCGCGAGAACAATTGATCCCGTGGGTATCCAAAACACGAAGAAATGCGACGTCAAAGCGAGTAGCAACCGGATGGCTCGAGGCGGGGATTGAAGCAAGCCGGGTGGCGAAAGAAGCATGCGAGCATGGCCGTAAGTGTAGGAGCACGATGATATGTGAAAGGGGTATGTGCAGCACATGGGGCATGTCCGTAAATACGTGAATTGCGTGCGATTCGAGCGGGTTGCGGATTGGGCGTGTTGTGTCTGAGCTAGGTGCTCTTATGGTGTAATGGTTAGCACTCTGGACTTTGAATCCAGCGATCCGGGTTCAAATCCCGGTAGGAGCTTGATTTTGTGCGGCGTTGCAAGCATAGTATGTAGCGATGGCGCCAGCTGTCGTGTGGGGCTTTAGAAAAGCGTTTGAAATTTTGTTTGAGGATTGGCGAGTTAGTGCTGGTCTTATGGTGTAATGGTTAGCACTCTGGATTCTGAATCCAACGATCCAGATTCAAATCCCGGTAGGAGGTCGTTTCGCGCCGCTTCTACCGGCCCTACCACGCTCCACTTGTTGCTGCGTTGCGAACCTGCCCACACGCTAGAGCCGCGTCACGTTGTGTTGCCATGGTGTGTTGTATCGTGTCCCGGCGATCCGCTGCCGATTTAAGTGGTAGCTGCTGCTCTGGCAGAGCTCACCAAGCCTAACTGCCGATTTCGCTAACTGCACTACTAACTCTCCAGGACAGCCAGAGAGCTCATCGTAGCCTTCCGCGAGAGCAATAGATCCCGTGGGTATCCCAAAACACGAAGAAATGCGACGTCAAAGCGAGTAGCAAACCGGATGGTTCGAGGCGGGGGATTGAAAGCAAAGCCTGGTGGCGGAAAGAAAGCATGCGAGCATGGCCGTAAGTGTAGGAGCACGACGATATGTGAAAAGGGGTATGTGCAGCACATGTGGGCATGTCCAGTGAAATACGTGAATTGCTTGCGAATTCGAGCGGGGTTGCGGATTGGGCGTGTTGTGTCTGAGCTAGGTGCTCTTATGGTGTAATGGTTAGCCCTCTGGACCTTTGAATCCAGCGATCCGGGTTCAAATCCCGGTAGGAGCGTTGAATTTTGTGCGGCGTTGCAAGCATAGTAATGTAGCGAATGGCGCCAGCTGTCGTGTGGGGCTTTGAGGAAAGCGTTTGAAATTTTGTTTGCGGGATTGGTGAGTTAGTGCTGGGTCTTATGGGTGTAATGGTTAGCACTCTGGACTCTGAATCCAGCCGATCCGGGGTTCAAATCCCGGTAGGACCTCGTTTTTGCACCGCTTTCTACCGGGCCCTACAAACGCCCCAGTTGTTGCTGCGTTGCGCAACCTGCCACAACGCTACAGCCGCGTCACGTTGTGTTGCCGTGGTGTGTTAATATCGTAGTCCCGGGCGATCCGCCTGCCGGAATTTAAGTGGTAGCTGCTGCCTCTGGCAGAGCTCACCAAGGCTTAACCGCCGACTTTCGCTGACTGCACTACCAATTCTACAAGACAGCCAGATGGGTTCATCGCAGCCTTCAGCGAGAACAATTGATCCCGTGGGTATCCAAAACACGAAGAAATGCGACGTCAAAGCGAGTAGCACCCGGATGGCTCGAGGCGGGGATTGAAGCAAGCCTGGTGGCGAAAGAAGCATGCGAGCATGGTCGTAAGTGTAGGAGCACGACGATATGTGAAAGTGATATGTGCAGCACATGTGGCATGTCCATGAATACGTGAATTGCGTGCGATTCGAGCGGGTTGCGGATTGGGCGTGTTGTGTCTGAACTAGGTGCTCTTATGGTGTAATGGTTAGCACTCTGGACTTTGAATCCAGCGATCCGGGTTCAAATCCCGGCAGGAGCTTGATTTTGTGCGGCGTTGCAAGCATAGTATGTAGCGATGGCGCCAGCTGTCGTGTGGGGCTTTAAGAAAGCGTTTGAAATTTTGTTTGCGGATTGGTGAGTTAGTGCTGGTCTTATGGTGTAATGGTTAGCACTCTGGACTCTGAATCCAGCGATCCGGGTTCAAATCCCGGTAGGACCTCGTTTTGCACCGCTTCTACCGGCCCTACAACGCCCCAGTTGTTGCTGCGTTGCGCACCTGCCACACGCTACAGCCGCGTCACGTTGTGTTGCCGTGGTGTGTTATATCGTGTCCCGGCGATCCGCTGCCGATTTAAGTGGTAGCTGCTGCTCTGGCAGAGCTCACCAAGCCTAACTGCCGACTTCGCTGACTGCACTACCAATTCTCCAAGACAGCCAGAGGGCTCATCGCAGCCTTCCGCGAGAACAATAGATCCCGTGGGTATCCATAACACGAAGGAAAATGCGACGTCAAAGCGAGTAGCACCGGGATGGCTCGAGGCGAGGATTGAAGCAAGCCTGGTGGCGAAAGAAGCATGCGAGCATGCCCGTAAGTGTAGGAAGCACGACGATATGTGAAAGGGGTATGTGCAGCACATGTGGCATGTCCGTGAATACGTGAATTGCGTGCGATTCGAGCGGGTTGCGGATTGGGCGTGTTGTGTCTGAGCTAGGTGCTCTTATGGTGTAATGGTTAGCACTCTGGACTCTGAATCCAGCGATCCGGGTTCAAATCCCGGTAGGACCTCGTTTTGCACCGCTTCTACCGGCTCTACAACGCCCCAGCTGTTTGCTGCGTTGCGCACCTGCCACACGCTACAGCCGCGTCACGTTGTGTTGCCGTGGTGTGTTATATCGTGTCCCGGCGATCCGCTGCCGATTTAAGTGGTAGCTGCTGCTCTGGCAGAGCTCACCAAGCCTAACTGCCGACTTCGCTGACTGCACTACCAATTCTCCAAGACAGCCAGAGGGTTCATCGCAGCCTTCCGCGAGAACAATTGATCCCGTAGGTATCCATAACACGAAGAAATGCGACGTCAAAGCGAGTAGCAACCGGATGGCTCGAGGCGGGGATTGAAGCAAGCCTGGTGGCGAAAGAAGCATGCGAGCATGGCCGTAAGTGTAGGAGCACGATGATATGTGAAAGGGGTATGTGCAGCACATGGGGCATGTCCGTAAATACGTGAATTGCGTGCGATTCGAGCGGGTTGCGGATTGGACGTGGTGTGTCTGAGCTAGGTGCTCTTATGGTGTAATGGTTAGCACTCTGGACTTTGAATCCAGCGATCCGGGTTCAAATCCCGGTAGGAGCTTGATTTTGTGCGGCGTTGCAAGCATAGTATGTAGCGATGGCGCCAGCTGTCGTGTGGGGCTTTTAGGAAAGCGTTTGAAATTTCGTTGCGGATTGGCGAGTTAGTGCTGGTCTTATGGTGTAATGGTTAGCACTCTGGACTCTGAATCCAGCGATCCGGGTTCAAATTCCGGTAGGACCTCGTTTTGCGCCGCTCCTACCGGCCCCACAACGCCCCAGCTGTTGCTGCGTTGCGCACCTGCCACACGCTACAGCCGCGTCACGTTGTGTTGCCATGGTGTGCTGTATCGTGTCCCGGCGATCCGCTGCCGATTTAAGTGGTAGCTGCTGCTCTGGCAGAGCTCACCAAGCCTAACTGCCGATTTCACTAACTGCACTACTAACTCTCCAGGACAGCCAGGGGGTTCATCGCAGCCTTCCGCGAGAACAATAGATCCCGTGGGTATCCATAACACGAGGAAATGCGACGTCAAAGCGAGTAGCAACCGGATGGCTCGAGGCGGGGATTGAAGCAAGCCTGGTGGCGAAAGAAGCATGCGAGCATGGCCGTAAGTGTAGGAGCACGACGATATGTGAAAGGGGTATGTGCAGCACATGTGGCATGTCCGTGAATACGTGAATTGCGTGCGATTCGAGCGGGTTGCGGATTGGGCGTGTTGTGTCTGAGCTAGGTGCTCTTATGGTGTAATGGTTAGCACTCTGGACTTTGAATCCAGCGATCCGGGTTCAAATCCCGGTAGGAGCTTGATTTTGTGCGGCGTTGCAAGCATAGTATGTAGCGATGGCGCCAGCTGTCGTGTGGGGCTTTAGGAAAGCGTTTGAAATTTTGTTTGCGGATTGGCGAGTTAGTGCTGGTCTTATGGTGTAATGGTTAGCACTCTGGACTCTGAATCCAGCGATCCGGGTTCAAATCCCGGTAGGACCTCGTTTTGCACCGCTTCTACCGGCCCTACAACGCCCCAGCTGTTGCTGCGTTGCGCACCTGCCACACGCTACAGCCGCGTCACGTTGTGTTGCCGTGGTGTGTTATATCGTGTCCCGGCGATCCGCTGCCGATTTAAGTGGTAGCTGCTGCTCTGGCAGAGCTCACCAAGCCTAACTGCCGATTTCGCTAACTGCACTACTAACTCTCCAGGACAGCCAGAGAGCTCATCGCAGCCTTCAGCGAGAACAATTGATCCCGTGGGTATCCAAAACACGAAGAAATGCGACGTCAAAGCGAGTAGCAACCGGATGGCTCGAGGCGGGGATTGAAGCAAGCCTGGTGGCGAAAGAAGCATGCGAGCATGGCCGTAAGTGTAGGAGCACGATGATATGTGAAAGGGGTATGTGCAGCACATGTGGCATGTCCGTGAATACGTGAATTGCGTGCGATTCGAGCGGGTTGCGGATTGGGCGTGTTGTGGCTGAACTAGGTGCTCTAATGGTGTAATGGTTAGCACTCTGGACTCTGAATCCAGCGATCCGGGTTCAAATCCCGGTAGGACCTCGTTTTGCACCGCTTCTACCGGCCCTACAACGCCCCAGCTGTTGCTGCGTTGCGCACCTGCCACACGCTACAGCCGCGTCACGTTGTGTTGCCGTGGTGTGTTATATCGTGTCCCGGCGATCCGCTGCCGATTTAAGTGGTAGCTGCTGCTCTGGCAGAGCTCACCAAGCCTAACTGCCGACTTCGCTGACTGCACTACCAATTCTCCAAGACAGCCAGAGCCATTATCGCAGCCTTCCGCGAGAACAATAGATCCCGTGGGTATCCATAACACGAAGAAATGCGACGTCAAAGCGAGTAGCAACCGGATGGCTCGAGGCGGGGATTGAAGCAAGCCTGGTGGCGAAAGAAGCATGCGAGCATGGCCGTAGGTGTAGGAGCACGATGATATGTGAAAGTGGTATCCATAACACGAAGAAATGCGACGTCAAAGCGAGTAGCAACCGGATGGCTCGAGGCGGGGATTGAAGCAACCCTGGTGGCGAAAGAAGCATGCGAGCATGGCCGTAAGTGTAGGAGCACGATGATATGTGAAAGGGGTATGTGCAGCACATGTGGCATGTCCGTGAATACGTGAATTGCGTGCGATTCGAGCGGGTTGCGGATTGGGCGTGTTGTGGCTGAACTAGGTGCTCTAATGGTGTAATGGTTAGCACTCTGGACTTTGAATCCAGCGATCCGGGTTCAAATCCCGGTAGGACCTCGTTTTGCACCGCTTCTACCGGCCCTACAACGCCCCAGTTGTTGCTGCGTTGCGCACCTGCCACACGCTACAGCCGCGTCACGTTGTGTTGCCGTGGTGTGTTATATCGTGTCCCGGCGATCCGCTGCCGATTTAAGTGGTAGCTGCTGC